ACCACTCCTCACTTCACTATAGCTCCTCAGGTCACCTATCCTCACTTCACCACAACTCCTTAGGTAACTACTCCTTACTTCACTATAACTCCTCAGGTAACCACTAGCCTCTCTTATACTTAACTTCCTGATTACTAGAGGATAAGTAATTAGTATAGTAACTCACTAGTAGTAGATATTATACTAGCCCTAGCTACTTAAGTAACTTCTCTCTAACTAGATTATCCCCATATACTCAATCTTAACTAAACTATATACAATCCATCTCTTTATTATACTCTCTACAAAGCCTTCCCCTATTTCTCTCATCACTTCCACTACATTATACCCTCAATAATATTCTGCCTACAGTCTTGCTTAGTATTTATTACCACCTACCTGCCTACCTACCTACTTCTAAGTCACCAAGCTAAGTTCCAAATCCACCCTTATAGTAACAACTTATTCTTCTATTTATATATCACAGTCTATCCGAGCACAAAGCCCTTATTATTAACCCCTCTACCACCCTTCCATCTCCCATTACACTATCTCCCCTTCTACCGCCATCCTAAAATGCCTACTCAGGCCACCAATAACAATACCTATTCTAAGCAGGCCTTCAACAGTCCTACAAGCTCTAAAAACAACAACAAAGGCAAAATTTATACTACCACTACCCCGTTAGACAATAGTACTAAAACGAGAACACATAAAAAGATATTGAAGGGCACTTTCTCCCTCTACATTCTTCGGGGTTCATATATATAACCTCTTCTCTCCAACTAGCAACGACTCATACATTTGCAGTTCTTAAATACCTTCATCCTAACCTGAACATCTCTCAGCGTGCCATGTCAGTGATAAACTCTCTTATTCTAGGTAAATCTTATACTCTTCCTCATTAAGATCTTATACTAACTTCCCTTTGACCTCTTTGAGTGTATTACTACAGAGTCCTCTAGGCTCGCCGCTTACAACAAGTTATCCACCATCTCCTCTCGCGATATCCAGACTGTAACTAGACTTGTCCTTCCTCCTGGCCTAACTCCGCACACCATCTCCGCGGGCAACCAAGCCACCACAAGTTACTCCTTCCACACTAAGCGATCTCCAACCTCCTAAGCATGATAGACTATGCTCATATCCTTAATTCCACTGAAGAGCGCCTGGATAGATCTGTTAATACTCTACATCCACTGCCATTAACCCTCAATAGCTCTTGTAGAGGTCCTAGGCTATTGTCACTAAGGGTCTGGGTTTTTGCTCTAGCCTGTGTATGTCTTCACATACCCTCAATATCGGCGGGGGAAGCTACTGTAAGTATAACATCTCTATCCGCATGTTAGATACTTGCCTAGGTAGTTTGCTAATACATCCACAGTCTAGAGTAATTTGAAGTCCCGAGTCTCCAACAGATTTCCTCCAATTCGACATATATATTCCTCCCCTCACCTAAAATACACTCCTCAGGTAACTACCATGCCCTAATACCACTTCCAATTTGGTTACCTGAGTACCACCTACTACACTTGACCCTCTAGTTATCCGCCGCTGCGCTTTGTACTTCCTCTTGTGCCTACTATCTCCTTTAAGCCACGCATAAAGGGCGCAGACCGATACTATTGAGAATGTCGTATACACACGCACCTTAGAATGTTGGTAAAGAAACGTTTGAGATTATCGGTGTTATTCTGAAGCTAGCTAACCAAGAAGGTTGCCCCACTGAATACCTGCCCACAATAACCCGCCACTTAATAGTTAAAACATGCCTCTTGTTGATACTAGTCCACCCGCTAGTACTATTATCAGTCTTATCTATCTAACATTGGTTGACTGTTGCTTGCCATGGCTATCCACGCGAGAGATTAGTGTTAAGGAAAAAGAAGGAAGTTAATGGGGAAATATGCTTGAGAGTCAGAACTCCTTGACAGACCTAGGTTCATTAGCGCTCAGTTCCTCAGTTGTTAAGTTAGCGAACTTACCCGATGCCATTGCTACTTCTAATATTAGAAAGGGGGCGGGGTAGCAGCGCCAGTCAAGTCAAGAATACCAGTACCCCAGTTCTTTGCAGTAGGGCTCTGGCTGATACAAGAGATGTTGGTGGCAGGACACTTGTTGTTGGCAGGCGAGCCCTGTTTGGTCGCTGAGAAGGTGCGCTTTAGGTTGACTGTAGGGGAGGTGCTAGCACTAGCTTGAGTTTTGACTGTTATAGGCTCTCCAGTGGTCTAAGTATTCACATCTAGGGCTGGAGCAGGCACAAACCACGGGCTGTAGCCGCCTGAAGTACGCTTAGACTTCTTAGTAGCATCTAAGCCTGCAGCTGTGACCGCAGTGTTATACGCGACCAACGATTCCAGGAAAGCATCAGTAAAGTACTTGTTAGCCACTATAAGCTGGTTAGTCACACCAACAAACCACAAAACAGTTGCGACTTATAGCTAAGGTTGAGGTCCACAGCAGCCTGTAACACCTCAGGAGTACCACCCTTTAGAACACCGCTATACTTGGCTATAAATGTAAAGGTCCCGTACACTAACTGTTTATGTTAGACATGAGCTAGATACATTGTACTTAACTTACCTTACAGATGTCAGCAGCAACACCTGGATTCTTTGTGTCATCCACACTCCACACGGCGATCTTCTCCTTAACTGTCTCCCACACCACCTTTTGGTCACTCTTGTTAAGGGCCTCGATCTTCTAGCTAATCATAAGCTTGCGCGAAACATCGGTCATGATAGTAGGCATATTAAAGAAAGTTGGAGTGTAGAGGAGAATTAGGGGATTAAAGGAGTTAAAGATTATTGGACCAGATATCAAAGTAGAGAGGTTAAGGTATACGCGAGGACAAGAAGATACTTGGTTATAGCCTGTATTTAAAGGCGGATATTAACGCTGGTTGATGTAAACACAGGGTGATAACATTGTAGATCAACCTCAAGTGATCGCAACCCGCGCTTAATCAGTTGATCCTTTGCCCTTAGGATCAGTTGCCATGGCACAAGGCAGGTTGTTAATCAAGCGCTTGATCATATCGCCAAAGTGGGGCCAAGGCTGTTGATTTCAAGAGACTGCCTTAGCCTTGTTAATCACAGTTAGCACTTTAACGTAATGTTATCCGGTCACTACAGAACAGCACAGTACAATGCAATAACAATCTTCATTCCCAAGTATGTACTATCTAGCCTATACAGGCAGACCACATCTTCCATATACCCCCAGTAGTTTGCAAGGCAGTTAGAGGAGTCAGTCTAGAAGTGATACATCCAGTTCCATCAATCTATCTTCGTCACACCTGCCCATTTCAATACCTAGCTAGATCAACTAGTTAGTATATCTACAGGTTGTCAGTGGTGGAGTAGACACACTCAGCTTAGGCCCATTTAAAGGGAGGGTCCTTGATCTGCTTCTCAAAGTGCACTGTCTTGCCGGCGCTCAATCGGTGTGAGCCCTCTTTGTTCGCGATAACCGCCTTGTGTGGGGTGGTGAAGGGGTTACCCGCCTTGGAGGTAGAGTTGCTGATGATAAAGGGTTGTGCCGAAGCCTGTTCTGCCTGTACTAAAGCTTCTTGCTGGGACTCTTTAGCGGGCTCTTGAAGAGTTATCCTATCAGGCGGGAAGGTATTAGGTAACTCTGCTATAGCCACTATGAACCAGTTAGTACCAGGACCAGCATAAAGAACTGTGACATACCACTTATAACACTTGAGATAGCAACATTAGTGAACATAACCGCATTTGAACCAAAGTCCTGCTTCCACTCCTGCGTGAACTTAGCCACTGCTACCATTACCTACTAGAGTTAGTGTCTGTTACTCTTATGTGTATCATGCTTACATCTATGGCACCGGCAATCAGGTTATTATGCTCTCCTACTTCCCATTTCTAGTTATTTATAAGCTGCTCTATCCACGCATATACCTTTAACTTTATCTCCCTATTAAGACCTTTAGTAGCATTTACCGCTGTAGAAACAGGGTTGAGCTGTAGTGTCACTATAGTGCCTAAGAACAGTAGTTAGAGAGTGGTAGGAGAATATATCTGTGAATGGCTTATACAGTAGCTAATGTAGTGTTACTGATGAAAGTAAAGTAGTTGTCAACAATATTGATCTGAAGGCTTGATTTTAAGAGGTCTACAATCTTAAAATCATGTCACACATATTAGCAGGCAGATTAAATTAGATCTCTTGGCGCGTACAACAAAAGCGGGCTATCACTACTTCTGCCCATAACATATCGTCGCGGTACCTACTATTACCCTTTGCTCCTTCTCCTTCTCCTTAAATACCCTATCGCTTTCAAATCAACTCTTCTATTAATAGCGTCATCAAAGCCAGTTCCCCTTTACCTCGGCGCTACAGCCTACCTCCGCCAGCACCCCGCCTTCCAGTACTACAACCCCTTTTCTTGTCTTCTCTCCAGCTAACACCATACAATAGAGTATCTTCTAATCGTGAAGGTGACTGGACCTACACATTCCACCTGCGGCCTGATAAGATTGAAACAATGAAAGAAACCGCAAAGATTGATGACAATACACTACAGAGCCTCGCCGCGCAGTCCATCCAACTTGGCTATTCATCCACCCCCTTTCCTGTTGCATGGCAAGCATCGGACAATAAACCGCCCTTCCTCTTCCTCCTACCTCTGCTGGTGCAATAGGACCAACCTGACAGGACTGTTAGCCAAGCAATTGTGGATTCATTCCCTAACTGCATGCTCTAGCCCTTCAGGCAGCAAGCTCATGATTACTTGTGCGCGATTAATGTAATCTTGTATCTGCTGCGGTATACAGCAGCAGGTATCACACGTGGGGATAGAAATATTGACGCGTTTATACGCGAGACTACTGACAACTCCACTGTGCACTAGCTCATTACAACACTGAATCGTCAGGTTTAGAGCGAGTTGCTGAACAACAACGAAGTCAACAATATCCGCGATAAGATCCTCAACGCCTATATTGAGTACAAGGGCTATAAAGATGCCAATACCGCCTACAGCAACCTTAGTATCGTCACCCTAGCCAGATTCTATCTCCCTCTTTTCCCCATCTTCTCCTGGTCCGAGATCAAGATCTTGACCTGCTGCGATAATAACCCGGTTGTCTCCAGCAGCGGGCTCTCCCGCGTATCCGTTATCAGCACCTCCAGCTTCCCCCCTGGCAAACCTCAGACTATCCAGGCATTTGTGGACGCCCGCTTCAATTAAAAGTAACTCCCCCCCTAGTAGGAGCCCTGCACTAATGGTGAGCGGTGTGCTCGCATTCCCTCCCAACACTGACAAGTTAACCGCCTCCCCGGCTACCTGGCCATCGCTTTTAGTAATCCACTCACCCCCAAGGAGGCGTAGAAGCGTGGTACACAGGACACACTCACCGTTCGCGCCTGCCTCCTTGGCCGCCACAGTGTTGTTAGTGAAGCTACCTACCAGCCCTGCTGGGCGACCTTCAGAGAAACATTTGTCCCTGGTGGACACTTTGTCAGTCGGTACCTTAAGGAGCTCGCTGTGGAAAAAAGCAAGGATAGCTGGCACTACAAACCTCTAAGAAAGTGACTAAACATACAAGTTATAGCACAGGCGTTGACTAACAAAGGCAAATAGTGGCCGGAGGGCCTATATGACCTCCACCTTATGGTCTACCACAAGCTATAGGTGACCACACGAACATGTTATTGCTCTAGTTAGATAGAGTTATTGTCAGAATACACACCATGTACCATTACCCAGCCCTTGGCCAGTGTTACCAGAGAATACAAATTTACCGTGGATCTTCAGACTATGATTCGGGTCCTACCAGTGGTACTATCTTCAAGTAGCTAGCCAGTATCTTTGCCTACCCCTTCTGATCGCATCTTCCCAGATTTAGCTGCAATACCTAGTAGTATGTCATACCTGCACCATGGTGGTCTGCCATCCTCACCTACTACTCCACCCACTGGACCCCGTTCTTGAAGATAACACAATAGTCAGTCGCCGCCATTGGCGCCACGCCTGGCTCGCCCTCTGCCCCAGCCTCAAATACATCCGCTGCTCCCTGTGTGTCATAGGTGCCCTCTATCTGTGTGGTCTCTGTGGTATCGGTCTGGTTAGGAACAGTCAT